GGAGAATGAGTGGTGCTGGCAGGTGGCGCTGATCAACTCCCTGAACCAGTACTTGTGCGGCGGTGCTTTGATTGGGAAGCAGTGGGTCCTGACAGCTGCTCACTGTGTTACGAAGTAAGTGCAGTTGTTTTTATGCAGAGCGGCGTGAGGTGTGAAGAAGCTGTACGCGTAAAACTTTTGATGTGGAAGTACAATACCTGACAAATGTTGCGCTGATTACAGTCGAAATTCGAGTTGGGGAGGTTTTCAGTTGGGGAAACAAGTTTTTTATTGCAGAAAAGGAAGAAAATTAACAGGAGATTGTAGCCATCTGATTTTTTTTGGCATGAAAATGTTCCCAAGTCGAATATTCCATATTTCGGTGCGTCCGCATGACGGGGCCCTACTTCACTGCGTTTTTTGTGAAAAATCATTCGGTACATAAGAAATATTTTAAAAGCCATTGCCCGGAATTCCCCTTGCAGCTGGACGATGGATGGTCATCCTGGTGTTCCTCATTGGAAGTTTCTGAAGATCGACTCTTGTTGCTTCCTTGATTGGTGTCGAATAAAATGAATTATTTATCTTCGGGCGTAAATTCGGATTAAATACTGTACTATAACTCAGTCCTGAAACGCAAATGTCTTGAAGGAACTTCTACTTTTGCACAAAACCCGCATTTTCGTAATGATGGATTGGAGAAAGTTATTATTTTATTGCTCTGTTCATGAATCCTTGGTAATAAATTGTCTTCCTCTTTTCCAGCATTGTCAGGAGTGGAGATGCGATTTATGTTCGCGTTGGCGACAATGATTTGACGAGCAAGTGGGGCAGTTCTGGCGCACAAACGCTTCGCGTTTCCACCACTTACATTCACCACAACCACAACTCGGCCACGTTGGACAACGATGTTGCTTTGCTGAAACTTCACAGCGAGGCGGAGCTGAGACCCGGGGTTTGTTTGGTGTGCTTGCCTGCGAGGGGTGTGGAGCGCCAGGCTGGGACTCGGTGCACAGTTACTGGCTATGGCTACATGGGCGAAAGTGAGAGCCATTGACATATATTTTTTCAGTATTTTTCGCAAATTTACGTGACGAGATCATAGATTGAGGGAGCGATTCTTCTTGTACCCTGTCATCTTTGAGGTATCCAATGCGTCAGTTTTCGTATCACAGGTGGACTCTCCACAACGAAATGCAAGGTACCCGGAAAAAATCGTTGTAGAGAACCCCTATGCCTATAACATGGAGAGAAAGCGCTTTGGAACCCAAAATAAATTCATTGTACAGAGAAAATTGTTGTAGACAAGATTGTTTTGGAGAGAGTCCAAGGTTTCCCTTTTGTTTTTCATGCACTGAAGTACAGGTACCACTTGCACCTTTTCCCTCAAAATTGAGAGGATAAAGAGGGATGCGCATCATAGACAGGTATAGATTCTTCAAAACGTTTTAGAAGTTCAAGTGTGCATAAAGCAGGTGGACTCTTTCTACAATGATCTTGTCTGCAACAATTTATTTCTCATCCCTCAGGGTTCTCTCTCCATGTATGGGGTTCTCTACAGCAAAATTTTCTGTACTGGGATTTTTTCTTGAATCTTGTCTCTTGATTTTTGCTGTAGAGAGATTCCACATGTGCATTATTTGATTCTAATGAGCATTTTTGGACCAATTTTAACAGAGGATGAGAAATGTCAATGGAAGCTGTTAAAAATTAGTTGAATTCACGCTAAATTCATGTCCAAATTCAAATCTGTTCGTTTTTATTTTTGAAATATCACAGTTTTCGAGTCACTGAAAATTGGGTTGTGGTTACAATTTATCAACATTTTTACCGTTTTGCTTGTCTTACTCAAGTGAGTATGGTACTCCGCCATAGGAATGAAAAACAAAAGGGAAACCTTGGTTAATGGACAATACTGTACTAAATTGACTACCACTTACTGTACTCTTATATTATTTCTCTACGCCTAGTTGTCAGTTGAACACAGTATTATTTAGAAATTGGCAAACTGGGATTGATGGGAAGCATGCCGATTTGAAATGAAAGATAACTGAAAATAGCTTGAGGAGTGTGATTCGGTGTTAAGATTTCTTCAATCACAGAGGAAAATGACCCGTATATATTTCCTGTGATACTCAATTCGTGAGCTTTTAATTCCTTTTTCTATTCTGAGCCTTGAGGTGCGATATACGGTAGTGACGGTATTCAAAATTCCTCGAACAATGTTACTGAGTTTCCTCTAGTGAAAAGGCTCTCTGCGAAGATCCTCAAGAGTCAGCTTGCATAATTTATGAAAAGACCCCGTGTGTGATGTAATGGTGAGGTTTCATAAAAGGGTGGATTGTTTTTCAGGTGGCCCCATTCCATTGAGGATCAGAGAAGCTGAGTTACCAGTGGTTAGTGACAGTGAATGCATCAGGAAAATTAATGCTGTCACGGAGAAAATCTTCATCTTGCCTGCCTCCTCTTTTTGCGCCGGCGGCGAACACGGACAGGATGCTTGCCAGGTCTGCAATAAAACCCTGATGCGATCACTACAAGAGGGATCTAACAAATTTTCTCGGAATAAAAAATTGAGTTGCGTAGGGTTGAGCTGAAAAACGACTATTGGTCAGAAAAAAACATTCTTCGCGCGAGAAGAAAGGCTGGACAGATTTTTCAAACATTTTTTGCAGAAGTCACCTTCGCAGCTTTCTGCTCTTCACTCAAAAGATGAGACGCCCATCACACAGATTTTTTCTGTACCCTAGCTTGCCCTTCTGAATTCTACAAATTGAATTGGCATGTGCGCCTCATCTATCGAATGCTGAGTGGTAAGCTGCCAGAATGACTTGCTACTCGATGTTGCAAAAATATTTTGGAAGAGGGCTGCACTTCTGCGAAAGAATGTTTTTTTTCTGAAAAGTAATTCTTCATCAGCTCGATCACGNTGCCATTTCAATTTCTATCCCCAGAACTCTTGTTTGACCCCTCGAACAAGAGTATGCTTCATCGTGACGTACTAATAATGTGACGTCGATTTTTATTTCAGGGTGATGGAGGAGGTCCTTTAGTTTGTCAAGTGGATGGGTTCTACGAATTGGCAGGACTGGTTTCCTGGGGTTTTGGATGCGGGAGGGAAGATGTACCTGGGGTTTACGTAAAGGTGTCGTCTTTCATTGGCTGGATCAACCAAATCATTTCCGTGAACAATGTTTGAAGGTGCTCAAGAGGTTGTGAGTGAAAGTAACTTATTTTGAGTGACTGCTGTGCGTACAAAAACCCTTGTGAGATGATCAATGGTGTGACCTCCAAGTTTTTTGTTGACACCCTGCATGGACCGTTGTTGCCAATGCTTGTTATTTGTTTTGCCAATTTACCATGGAATCTCTGATGTTCGGCTGCTTGTTTGTTGCAGTATTGAGCCAACGCTTGAACTGCTGGATATTTATAATGTTTTGGTGCCATTTGAAGAATTGATCAGAGGATTTTTGTTGAAGTTCAGGTATCCGTGCATTGGAAAAGTTAAAGCCTTATTTTTTCATTGCGTTGTTTTTTCCGTTTTAAATCTTTGCATGACGTTTTGACATTTGAGAGGTTGTGGTTCCCCGACTAAGAAGTGTAGAAGGGTTCTCTTACATGTTGTGACAGGTGAACCAGAGATTGCATTAATTTTTCCTGGTAATTCCAGGTTCGAACTGGTTTCGGGAATTTTCTTTCATCCGTTTTTTTTATTTCACAGGTTGACTATCACGTGGAATGATTTCAGCTGTGGAATGTTGCTGTGATGGTGAGATAGTTGTAAGTTCTTTCGGAAAATATATTTCATAATATTTGGTTATTTCAGATAGCTGGGATACGCCAATGACGGAATGTGTTCAACACGAATATTTTTGACATGAACATTGTGATACTGTATTTGTAAGTGTTCTGTGATTTTTATGCTGTTGGTGCAATATAACTTTTTGTCTTAGTACTGTGGATTCCTCACGTGCTGTGTAGTTAGTTCGAAGAATTCCAAATTTTAGATATCGAGCCATTTTGATAGATTTTTGATCATCCTTGACACAGGGGATGAATGTGTTCCCACTAAATCGGTTTCACCGTTATCCGTATTCCCTAAGACCTGCAGGAATTCCTTGATGGACCGTTTACCTAAGAATTCGCTTATGTCTTCTGAAGTGATTTCCACATCACTTACAGATGAAGACATGATTTTTCAAGAACATGTTAATAATTTTTCATCTGGCAATGTTTGGTACTGCATATGAACATAAGAGGTGTGTTGAGTGGTCTGCTCCACATTGTTCTATAGCTGGCACGAAGAATCAAACGGATGGACGAGACCTATTCAGCGTGAGAAAAGGCTGCAAAATATGCCTTGGACCCTTATCTGGTTGAAGATTCGCATTCTTCGAAGGTTGAAATGCGTGAATGGCCAGTTGTAGGAATTTTGAAAGATCTCATTTCTGGTCACGGAGAACTCGATGGAAGAAATAATGCTGCAAAATGTGAATCACGGTTTAGCTACTGTCATGGAAAACCACAACTAACACATTTTCCCGGAATCACAAGATTTCAAGATGCATCGCACACAAATCCAATGAAACATCGATCCAACAAAATTTTGACAATGCTCCGTAAAAAAAACTCAATCGTGTAAATGAACCGGTAATGAAAAATTCACAGCAATTTCAAGAAAACTGTCAGAGGCCAATTGGTCCTGGCCGAACTGTGAGCCCAGTTTCAACCCACAGTGCCCGAAGTCGGTTCCTTCCCTGAAGAATGTCCGAGGGCTGCAACAGAAAAAAATTGGAACCCTCCT